AATACTCCACCACCACTATTATAATCATTATCATCATGTTCCATCACCATCATCATCATCTCATCTCTCCCCTCTCCATTCTCTCTCTGTCGGCCAAAAAACAAGGAAAAGAAAAGAAAACTTCAACTCCATAGTTGGTTCAAGGAAGAAGAAGAAGAAACAAGAAACCATCCAAAATTTCCAAATCTTTAGTCCAAAAACGCAGCAGCAAATTCAAGGTGAAAACTGAAATTTTCCCTCCATTATCTCGAAATACCTTTTGAACCAAAGTTGTAGCCCGGACGATACGAATCCAGCCCAACAAATGGCTCGTGATTTCGTTAAGTGACGAAGGAGAAATGACCGAAATACCGGGACTGCGCCAGTGGTGGCGAGCTCCTCGGGTTGGACCATTTTCTTCACCAAATTCATATTGTTTCATTCCAAACACTCACCATAAACTCTCTAACGATTATTAGGAACATCCGAAAAGTATCGTAGAGAAGGTTCAGTGTTGGAATATTGAAGTTAATGAGTTAATCATCGGAATCGTGGTTCATCGACATATCTGAAATCCTGGACAGCAACTATCCTTTGACTTCAGGTCCGATTTACGCTATTTTGCATCTGTTAACTCGAAATACTTTCTATACGAAAGTTATAGCCTTACATCTTAGAAATCCACAGAATCAAACGGTTTGCAATTCCATGAAGAAACGATGGAGATATACCCAAAATACGGCAGGCTGTCCAATTGTGACGAGAATGACAAAGTTGGCGAATTTCGATGTTGTTTCCACTCCCGCTCATCCGTAAGGTTTCAACCGATAATTTCCATGTATGTACCCTTGCGTTAGACTTGTCGAATCATTCATCACGTATGTACTTGAACATATATAATAATCCATATGTTGAAACCATCCCAAAATATATATGTGATACATATATAAGTCATCTATATGTTGAGATCAAAATACACCAAATCCATAAAGTTAATATACACATAAGTAAATATAAACATTGGAATTCAACCCGCAACATGTATATGTTAATCAAAGGTGTTTAAAAGACTTAAAGAAGTATTTTAGACACCCAAAAACATCAAGAATAAGATTCGCAGACCCGAACGGTCGACGCAAACGGTCGACCGTCGCGTTAAACATCGAAACGGACCTCGACTGTCAGCCAAACGGTCGACCGCCGGTGGCTAACGGTCGACCGCCGGTGGCTAACGGTCGACCGCCGCATGTCCAGCCGAGGGCCGCCATCGCCATCCAGTCAACAACGGTCGACCGCCGGTCAACCACGGTCGACCATCACGGTGTTCTGCCAATCCGACGAAATGAAGATCGAGGTCGACCGCCGTGCAAAACGGTCGACCGTTCCGAGCCCCGTAGCTTATTTTAATGATATTTTTATCATATTTCACCCAAATAAATTAATGTATGATTACATACTCATATTGTTTACAATTTGTTCATATCATATGATTCATCTCATCATCCATTTTAAAACATATCATATCATATCATATGCATGCGTAAGAGATCATGCCCAGTGCGTCTCTTATAGCGTGATTGTGTGGGACTTAGCAATCCGACATCACTAACCGGGCTTAGTGTACGTACATGGTATTCAGGCTTTCGAGTACCAACCCTATTTTTCTAGTCTCCCTTGTGAGACTAAGGCCGCTGAGTTCGTCGTACCAAATGGGCAAATTTCACAATGCAAGGGTCGTCCTTGTTGACTTAAAATCATGCATGATGTTATCATCATCAAGTACATTGATTACATAGGTGTCATGTAATCATCATCAAGAATAAATATATTGATTACATAGGTTTCATGTAATCATCATCAAGAACAATTATATCTATTACATAGGTATCATGTAATCATCATCACGAACAAGCAAATTGATTAAATGTGCCATCATTTAATTATCATTAAATAATTATCATCATGAATTATCAAATTGATCATATGATATAATGTGTCATATCATGAATATTATTATACACCTTGTGGATGTATATATATGTATATGTATATGTATATGTCCGTTAATTATTCTACAATTCGAGCGTGGTACCACTCAGCGGTTTCGCTGAGCGTGTAGTTTGTATTTTTCGTTGACTACACGTAGGTAACAAGAAGACTATGATGGAACCACTCCCGGAGGGCATTGAGTCAGAGGAGATGCTAGGATGACAGACAAATGTTTGGTCATCAGATTTTAAAATGTGTCATGATTTGATTATTATTGTACTTCTGCATTACTCTGAAAAATATTTTTAAACGGGTCGCGATCCATAGTCTGTAAATTTAATATTTATAAGTGATTGTCATTTTCAAATGTCAAGCGAAATTTTTAATTAACCCTCGTTTCACCTTAATTCGTGTAATTCCGGGTTATACGGATTGTGGGGTTACATCTGCGACCTCGACCCCGATTTCCACCGCCACGGCCTTGGCCTCGTCCGTAGCCTCCACGTTGACCGGGGTTGCTTTCACCATAGCCTGTGCCGCCATGCTGTCTGCCATAGCCGCCGGGAGTACCACCGTGGGAGTTTCCGCCGGCTCAGTTCATGAGGAGAGTCGTGGTTCCCGAGTCGGTGGGACTCGTCCATTGTCGATCCAGAAGCATGAGGGCAGAACAGACCTGCAGAAACGTGGGCATGAGATCCTGAAATTGCATGAATGATGTTTGTGCCTGAAGATCTGCAGGGAGACCACAAATCATTTGAAGAACGAGTTGATGTTGGGAGACTGGTGCATCAACATCGTCCAGCCAGTCGGCAAGATTCTGCAGTTGTTGACAATAAGCTGCCATGGTGGAGTTTCCCTTGATTGTAGTACGAAATTTATGCTCCAGCTGCATGGCTCTGGCATGTTTGTTATCGTGGAACAAGTCGTGGATGACTTTCCAGAGAGCAGAGTGGCAAAGTGTTGCAATTGGAAATAGTTTCTATCTTAAATAGTTTAACTATAGGGAAAGATGTAAAGCACAACTATAGTTAGATGAAATAAGGATCTAGGCTCTTAATAAAATTTTATTTAAAATAACCTAGGAAACCAAGGGTTGTAAAAATGATTACAAATGGAAATTGTTCCTACATAGTTAGTTTAACTATAGGACAAGATGCAAAGCACAACTATAGTTAAATGTAACATGGACCTTGGCCCACTAAGGTATTTTTACCATGAAGAAACCTCGAAGGTGGTTGGTTGGTTTAAACAAACCAACCACCTTCTAGTCTGTATATTTACAGACTAGAAGGTGGTTGGTTTGTTTAAAATAGTGAGAGAGTTTTTAATTAAAGTCCTAATTAATTACTTAATTCTTGATAAATAACTATTTTGCAAATCATCTGTAGATGACCAGTAACAATCACAACCTCACCTTGTGTTCAATCCTAGACAAAGACAAGTTGACCGGGTCCAACTTCTTGGACTAGCAATGCAATCTTATTATTGTTCTGTGTCTTGAGAAGAAAGAGTATGTGCTTGAAAAGGCCATTCCTCCTCAACCTGCTACTACTGCTTCTATAGAAGTTAAAGAAGCATATGACAAGCACGTTGATGATGACATGGAAGTGGCGTGTCTCATGCTAGCTACTATAACGTCTAAGCTTTAGAAGCATCATGACAGTATGAAGGCGTATGATATGATCCTACACCTAAGGTAGCTCTACCAAAGGCAAGCTAGGAATGAGAGATTCCAAATCTCTAAGGCACTCTTCAGTTGCGAATTGTCTGTTGGAAACCCTGTCGGTCTGTATGTTCTCAAGATGATCGGCTATGTTCAGACTCTTGAGAAGTTGGGTTTCTCACTGAGACAAGAACTTGCAAAGGATCATATTCTGCAATCGTTGTCAAAAATGTATAAGCAGTTTGTTGTTAATTATGAGATGCATGTATTTGACAAACCCCTGCCCGAACTCTTAAAGATATTACAAACTGCTGAAGAGAGCCTTACAAAGGAAAAATGTAGTTTTGTCCTTCTTGTTCAAGGCGGAAAGGGCAAGAAGAAGAAATTTAAGAAATTTGGAAACAAAGGCAATGGTAAAATCAAGCCTGGATTCATTTCTTCTAACTTTAAGCCAAAATGTGGAGTAATGAAAGACTCCATAAAATCAGAAGCATTTTAAGTAGGGTTGAAGTAACGGTCATAAACAATGACGTTTTGTTTCTTGGTTGGAAGCGCCTTTCTGTCATTTTTCCTCGTTTCAAGCAAGTAGAGCGGACACGCCTCACCGGAATATGTGCTAGATTAGAGCATCAGCAGCGGCGATCCGTCCATATGCCACGCCCTGCCAAATCGGATGAGAAGCAAACCTTACTCGCGTGGGACTACCATTTCTCCAGGGTCAGCAAGGCTTATGCGAGGCATGTAAGCCTATTTTTTTTCTTTTTTTTCCCTTTTATTTGTGAGAAAGAATTCCTCAAAAAAAAAAAGTTTTCTAGAAGGAAGTAGAACTACTTTTTACTCTCTTTGTCTCTTAATAAATTATATTTTTTTTTCACCCCTTGATAACTTTTGTTTACTTATTATTTTTATTGATTATTTAATTAAAAAAAATTTGTCACATCTTTTTTTGTAGAACTTTTGATGTAAATTTTAAATTTATAAGTTTTATTTTTAATTCGTATACCAATTATAAAATAATTTTTAAAACCAAAGAGTTTTGCATCGTAATTTTAAAATCATAATCTAATTTGAGATGAAGGAATAAATAAAAATATGGAGTAGATAACAAAAATATTTTTAATAATTAAAATATATTTAAAAAATTTATTTATTTGAGTAAATAGAAATATTTTTATTATAAAAATATATAAGTAAAATAATTTTAAATAATTCAAATATGGAAAAAATATGAAAAAAAGTGATGCTTGTCACTGCAAGACATGCCACTCCACTCACGTAACACTCGTTGACAGGACTGTTTTTTATTGGTTTCATTCCATTTTTGCCCTTCATGCTCTTGCATTCTCATACATTCCAATCTTTTTCTGCCCTTTGCCCAATTACACACGGAGTATATTCTTGGCACAACGGCGCCTCCAGCTGCTCCACCGATCCTCCCGTCAACGTCCCTGGCAATGAGATTGAATGCTTAGACCAGATCGACGTCAACGCTCCAAGAGATCTTGGACCACTTGCTGGTGGGCAAGGAAGATTCGAGCGGCCGTTGTGCGATTCGACGAAATCGTAGGCAGATATCGTTTTGGAACTGAAAGACATTGGATCCTCTGACCCGGAAGAAACGGATTTTGTCTTTCGGGATCTGAAATTATTCTTGGGATTGAGAATGGAGAGGAACTGCATGGGCGGAGGATTTAGCAAAGGATAATATTAGAAAGCCAACAAGTCAAAGTAGGGAGTGTTTTTTTGGAGGGACGTAGTTATAAAAAAAAGAAATCTGCCGGAAGCTCTATCTTTTGAGGTAACCATTCTCCCTTTCCATTTTCCATAGAGATATGGTCTGGTCCTTTGTTGAAATAATTTACAATTTTATTTTGCGAATTAGGACTTTGTAAATTGATTGTGTTAAATTTTGTATGTATCCATAGAATAAAAGTTTGTTTGATTATTAAAAAAAATTGTAGATAACTAAATATATTGCTCATCACATTGCTTCCGGCTCCATAGATGTTGGGACAGTCCATCAGATTGCTTCTGGATCCATAGATTGTTGTAGTTTGTATTGTCGTATGCAAGTTTCAACTTCAATTTGGTTCGGCTTTAGTTAGATTTCTTAAAGCAGTGTTTTAAAGGGTTTATCTTCAATGAAGAAGATTTAAATGATAAGTACTAAAAATTATGTTTTGATGTTGCAAATTTGTGATTGATTTACAGGGCTCATATTAGGTCTAATCTCCACTGAATGCTGACATTTTCTGGAATTGGAGTTGTAGTACAATTTACAAGGGTCTCCTCTTTGTTTAGACTTTATAGTTTAGAAGAGGCAACATTTTCTTTTATTTCAAATATATATATTAACTGAGGTAGTGGAGAGACTTTTCGTTTTGTAATATGGAAAAAGTTCTAGGGGGTGTTTGGGATGACTTATTATGTATACTTATTTATAGAAAAGTGTCAAACCTGTTTGGTACCACCTCTGGTATAAGTGCTTTTATCATATGTGGGTTCTCATTTAAGCATGTAAAGTGTTTCTTTTTTCAAATCACTAATCTGCGGCTTTCAAAAATAGAATGTGTTCTTTTACTGTCAAAACTTAAAGCACTTCTTCCATTCCCCTTCAAAATGTGTAAAAGTATTTCTCCTCTTCTTAAGCACAAAGTGTTTGTTTTTTTCCAAAATGCACCATTGAGGTGCTTTCTTAAATAAGTACTACATGATTTAGTTTGTTTATTGGAAAGCACTAAAATGCAGGTGTTACCTCTATTTAAGAACATAGAAAGTAATTGCTGAATCTATTTTTTTAAAATGCACTACCAGTCTTTCAAGTTGACAGTGTAATTGCAGGCCAGTTAGAAGCCAACTACCCATAGAGAGACAATGCATTCGCCCATGGCTGCTACTATCAGGCATTTTGTTGTTCAATTCATAGAACCAAAATCTAAGAATTGCTCTTTGCCATCTCCACATCTCTTCCCCACAAAACCTGCTTGTTTCTCCATTCAAGTAAATATGTATACAAATTAAACAAACACACTCGCTCTGTTTCAATTCCAAGTTTTCTCTCATTCCGGTTTTGATTAGTGTTTCCTTCTTCCTTTTGTGATCTTCAAACGTATATTGTCAGAGATATTATCACGGAGCAAATTGTTTTCTGTCCGTCAATGGTTGCCAAGGTGATCCGATTGCCACTGCTGGGATGGTCGAAACTCGGACCTTCCCAGTAGTTTCAAGCTTAGATTTGGCTACAGAAAGCCTCAAAGCTGTTGTTTCCGACCTCATCAACTCTGACCCTCCGCCATTTGACTCTGGCATTATTCGCCTCGAGGTAAATGTCCCAACCCTGTAGTGCCCTATGACATTCTCCTTGGAAATTTTCTGCAAAAGTTCAAACAACACAACACGTAATGGCTTGAGAACATAGAAAATGGAGGGAAAGGAAGTTTTTTTCAAAATAATTTGTGGGTCGGTAGGTGTCACATGGTTGGTAAGCAGTGACCTGATTTAGAATAACACAAAAATCCTTATCTTGCCTTCTCCAGCATCCAAGTGGATAAAAGATAAGATTATACTCCCATCGTTCTAAAGAGTTTGTCCACTTTCGCACTTTGACTTTTTTGGTCAAATATTTTGAACTTTGATCATTTTTTAATTAAATGATACTCCTATCGCCAAAGTATTTGTCTAGCTTTACTTTTTTCTAGACACATCAGACAAAAGTTGAACATTAGTTAAATAAAAATTACAGCATATTAATTAATACAAAGAAATAGTTTTGAAAGTTTTTTGTATGATAAATCTAATATAATGTGATATAATGAAATAATTAATACAATAAAACCATTTTTGTATTAGCATAAAATAGAATGTTTATTAAGTTGACGGTGAAAGCTAGTTCAGACTGCAAAAAATTGACCACAAAAAGTCAAACTGAAGAAATATTACATTGAATGATATTATAATGACAATTTCATAAGATTTGTCTTGCAAAATACTTAAATAAAATTATCTTATCATATTTTAAAAATTTTCTATGTTAGGTAATAAGAAGTGTCAAGCTAGGGGTCTCTTGGAAACATCCTCTCTGCTTCCAAGGGGTATGGTTTGCATACACACACCGGTCCTAGACCCTACTTGTGGGATTCTACTGGGTTTGTTGTTGTTGTATGTCAGATAATAAGACGTAGAGCAATGTTAGCTGTTCACCAAAACTTTTCAATCAAAATCACACTACTCTCGTTTTTGCAATTCATAGCTGTACGACAGGCTTATCTTTTATGTATGTCGTCCAAATGAGATTTGTCTGTTTCCGAAGTGCAAAAATGGGACAGGTGTAACCATAGTTATTAAAGGCGAGCGCCTCTTTTGCCTAAGGCGCCTCATAAGTCGCCTGAAGCGATTGCGCTGAGGACTCCCTGGATTATCATAGGACCGTCGCCGTAACATCTCTGTTGTCTTCATCGCCGCTGCTATCCATCATCGATTGCTGCTGTTGATTCTGACCTCGCTCGACTGCTGCTCGATTGGAATTCAAGGCCGGTGGCTAGGGTCGAAGCCCTAGCCCCTGTGCCCGTGCGCCGTGCTCTCCCCTCCCGTGATCTCGCTCTCTCACCCTGTGCTCGCTGCTGTGTATCACCGAAGAAGAACATCCGAGATGTCAATCGATCTGATGCCCTTGTTTGTCTTGCTCAATACTCTAATATCATCAAATTGGGCTTGAAATGGGTTTGGGCTTGAAAGGGTTTGGGCTGGATTTCTACAATTAATAAACCCAATTGTAAATTATGCTCAAGATCTAAATAATTGTATAGTGAACTTAATGCCCAAAGAGCATGGATTAGCAAATACAAACGAGTAGTACAAAAGATTGAAAAGAGTACTAAAAACACCCATTTAAGATATAAAATATATAATGATGCACAAATGCACAAATGCAAAGAATATGCTCAAAGAGGTGATAATGTGCAATTTAAGTAAAAAAAACAATATAAGGATTGGGGATTGAAATATATTACTGAGTACAATTTAGAGACTCAACACCAACTCTCTCTCTCTCTCTATAATATATATATATATATATTGTAAAAATTTGGCATACAGAAGATTTATTCTACGAATGAAAACTGCATGTAGGAAACTGTCAAATGTCAAATACGACAAAAGGGATTAAGGGAGTATATAAATGAGAAACAAAAAAGTGAGTGTCTTTGTAAAATATGATTAGTAAGCTTTCTAGTTTTCTCCTACTTTGAAATTTGGTTTACGAATTAAATGACACTGTCCTGGTCGTCTGAGAGACACAACAATAGCATTGTTTGTGTTGTTAATGTGACTCGGGAACGGCATATTTAAGGCAACCGTGAGAGCATTACTCCAGTTTTAATGTGTTCATTTTGTATGATTTGGGCTTTAAGCAAAAATTATAGTTATTCTTAATGGGGATTAATAGATACTTGACCACTCTTTAAATTGTGTCAAACACCAAGGTACCAATCAAAGAGAAAATTGAAGCACTAGCTTGGCTTCAGGCCCAGAACCATCTTCCCCACCTCCCGCGCTGTTTCTTCTCCGGCAGAAGCCAAAGATTTGACTTTGATCCTTCATCTATTTGGCATTGCAATACTGCAGATTCAGTTACTTCGGATTCATCATCATCTGAAAGGCATACTGTGGCGAGTGTAGCTGGCCTCGGCTCAGCTGTCTTCTTCCGCCACTTTCACCCTTTCTCATTCAATGACTGGCTCGCCATTAAGAGGTATCTTTGACTTACTTCTAAGAATATTTGCATATAGATTCATCTGTTCTATTGGGGAGTTGCACTTTTGAATTTTGGAGGGTTGATATGATATAACTTATAAGTTTTGGAATCCTGAAGAAATTATATGGATTTTGAAATCTTAAATGGAAGTGTTTGGAGAGATGAAAGGATCTTTGTTAGTGACATGCGGGAGTGGCCGTGGGTGAGTGCGGTGGTGGATTGTAGGTCACAATGGCTAGCAGTGGCGGGGTGATTGAGGGTGGTGTCCGATGATGGTGGGTCACCGACGGTGGAGGGGTAGCCGTGTGGCTGGTGGTGGTGAGCTGTCGGCTGTGGTGGTGGTGAGCTGGCCAGCATCAGGGGGTGGCTGGCACCTGTGGGTGCCCGGTGAGGGTGGGTTGCCGGCATGTGATGGCCAGCCATGGTGGGTGGCCGGCGAGGGTGGGTTGCAAGCGGTGATGGCGGCCAGTTGAGGGAGACATCAAAACCCTCGGGTTGATATCGCCTAAATTTGGGAAATGTTAAAACACCCCAATTTGGGAGGTTGTGATATCATGATAAACAAAATCTGAACTCTGTTTAGGCTTCACCAAACGCTTAGTAAAGGGTTCTGATATTGGGATTTGGGAGATATCATAACTCATATCACACGCTCACCAAACGGGACTTTAGTGAATTTAGAAGCTGTGCAGGATTTATGTGTTATTTTTATGACTTTTGTTACCTAAATTCAGACGTTTTAAATTTGTATTTCCATGAAAACTTTGGTCAGGTCATGAATATCATGAAACCACTTTCACTCAATAACTGGGTTATGTGGATTAAGGATCCATTTATGGTGATGGATAGAGTTTAACACGTGCTGTTTGAAGGCTTAGTCTAACATAAGAAGTCTAAACTTTCCCTTGAAGGTTTCTCTCCAAGAAATGCCCTCTAATTCGCGCATATGGTGCAATCCGCTTTAATGCCACTGAAAGCATAGCTTCTGAATGGATTGGTTTTGGATCTTTTTATTTTATGGTTCCACAGGTAGTCTGATTGAATTCCTTCTTTTTCGTTGGTGAGAGGTATATCATCTGGGAGACCATTCCTTTTGTCCTTTTGTATATAATCCATCTCGGGCTAGATATTGAATAACAGGTTGAGTTTGATGAGTGTGAAGAGAGCTCAATGATTGCTGCAACTATTGCCTGGGATGATGCCCTCTCTTGGACATATAAGAAGTCTATACATAAACTCCAGGCAACTATCTGTGAGGTATGTATTTTCCTCTTAGCAAGCCACCATCATTCATTCACTTGTTTCTTCCTCTTCTTTAACTTTCTGAACATATGCAGGTCTGCACTATAGTTAAACACCTGGTGGGAAGAGTTTCAGATACATATCTACTCAACAGCACTCACATCCCGGACAAAACATCTTGGGATCGGGATGTTAAACGTGCTTTGCATATGATAAACAGTGATGACTCTAAACTGATCAAGNCCCCCCGACTTTTCAAAATGCATCAAATTTAGCTCAAAGATGGTTGAGCTTATAGTCGATAACCAGAAGTGGCAATGGCAACGTAGTTGAGCTAAGAAAAAGCAGAATTAACTATTTATCTTTTTATTTAAGCTGTTGTTTCACAGCTCTACTAGCATCAACTGCAAAGCATTTAAGTGGTTTCTTCAAGTTTAGATATGTTTGAGCTCAATAGCTCATTCTAGTAAAAAATACTCCCTTTGTCCCAAAATGAAGTTGCACTTTGACTTCGCGGAGTTTAAGAAAAGTGTTGAAAAGTTGAAGATGTTTGGTGAAATGTGAAAAGTTTGTGGTTGGAATATTTACATGAGAGAAATAATAAAGAGCCACATATCCATTTACCTAAAGGGGAAGTGGAGAAGTGTTAATTTCAATTTGCAACATTCAAAAAAGTGTAAAGTTCATTTTGGAATGGAGAAAGTACAAATTCTGAGAAGAAAAAAATTTATTTGGTCATGTAGGTTGTACTTGCTCGCAGCAGCAGAGTTGTAACTTGTACAGATATTGACCCTCTAATGTGGTTAGCATGCTTGAAGGTGTTGGTTATTCAACTATGTTGATGTTTATATGATTTATTAAAAAACAAATCTACTATTGTCTAAACATAAAATATTATCTCTTCCAGTTTGAAGGAGAAAATGCATATCAGTTCTGTTTACAGCCTCCTGATTCACCTGCATTTATTGGAAATACTGTAAGTGCAATCACTTTTCTCATGAGTTAAATGTTGGGGAGTTCTATGTGGTGATACTCAACTTTTCAGATTGTGTATAGCCAGAGCAACTATTTCATCGAAATCGACTCAGCATTTGCAGTGATGCTCTAGCTGGCACCCGAGCTAGAGGTGGAACAGAGCTTCTAGATCTTAAGATAGGACGTGATTTGCTCTCCAGGTTCTTTTACTAACCTGAACTTCTATGTAGTACCTGCTCATGGAAAAAAACATGAATTTTATTGAGTTCCTCTACAGTGCTGAATGTGATTTATATTATCTCTTCTTTGTAATTACTTGCCGCAGCCCGAAAGATCATAATGAGTTTGCTATAGTACGTGAGTGTATTAAAAGAAGATTGGAGGCAAGCTACACAAAATTCTATTTTTATGTACTGAATCATGACCTTCAAATAACTTTGACTTTACAACTCAACGTAACAGTTTTTTTCATTCTATATTTCTCTCTTTTTCTGGTTTAAAAGGCTGTATGTTCCACTGTGCTAATTGAACCAAAGAAAGCTTTAAGAAAACTTCCTAGAGTTCAACATCTTTATGCCCGGTTAACTGGAAGGCTTCAAAGTGAAGATGATGAGGTATATCTCATTGTTGATTACAGTTCATGTATTGGTCATGGAATTTATACCTGTACTTAATTGGACATATTTTGATATTTTCTCTTTATTTATAATAATAGGAATAAATCAAAATGGATCTCTAAACTGTCTGCGCTTCTTTAATTAATGAAGTAGCAGTTAGTCAAGCAATGCAACTTTCGACGTTGAGCCGGGGGTCTCTTTGGAAACAGCCTCTCTACTTTCGAGTAGGGGTAAGGTCTGCGTGCACACACCCTCCCCAGACCCTACTCTTGTGGGATTTAACTGGGTTGTTGTTGTTGTTGTTATAATAATAGGAATAAGGTACAACAGCCATACCCCTAAACTGTTCCTAAAAGTTCAACCTAGCCCCTGAATGAAGTTCTGTTTCGTTTTTATCAATAGACTATTTAAAAGGATACAGCTAAGCCCCTTCATTGCCCCTTCTACTTAAGAACCGTTAACTTGAGATTGCATGGATACAACTAGATCTAGTTACCTCTAAGTTGCTGTTGTGTGTGCTTCAAGTCCTACTTTGCCACACTAGATAATAGTGGTACTCACTGTGACATGTGTCCACATCACTTCACTAACACAAAACTCACAATTTCTTAACCTTTCTTAAGAAGAGTAAATCCTTACTCGGCTAAATGAGGAGCTTGGTGATGAAGCATAATCCAGGGAGACCTCACTGAAATTATTAATTCAAATTTTAGGTCGATTATACACTTTTAGAGTTTGGCAATCCTGTACATGAGAATTTATAGAAGGCATAATTTCTTACCATTATGTAATGATAACCAAAGGGTTAAAAGCATTGAGTCCTACCTTTATCCAATGCGGGCAGGATGGGGGTCATGTCACATATTAGCCAAATAAGGTGACAAGTGACATCTGGTTTTTTTATCTGCATCATAAAAAATCAATGGTTGTTAAGTAGAAGGGGTACTAGAGGGACGTAGCCGTACTTAGATAGATTGAGCGGGACAATCCGGCCTGCCGAAGCAAAAGCTTTAAAGCCCGGCCGGCCCAAGGAGGCCCAAAATACTTGATGGGTCTGGGAGGATTTTAGTCTAATGAGCCTCCTTGTCCCATGTGCTCGACCCATACCCTCAGCAGATGGCCACGACCTTAGGCTTCCGAATTCCGTTTGGGCCACCCGTGTTGGCTTGGCTGAATACCCCTTAGATGACATCATATGATCATGTAAATGTATACGTATGAATATCCCTCTTCTTCGAAGGGGAAGGATGCGCTCTAATCAAACCCTAATATTGCATATCACTGCTTTATTGTCTTGTGAGTTGTGACCAGGCTATCCCCGGATCCAAGATTTGTCATGTACCATTTTAAATAGTTCAAGGATACAAACAAGCCAAAAATATGTTCAGGGGCCGCATTCAACTTTTTAGAATAGTTAAGCTTTAGCCATTTTGGGGGCATGGGTGTACCTTATCCCTTTATGATATTTTACTTTACTCCTAAATTTTAAAGCACATTTCTATGGGTATACTTTTCTAGTTCAAGATTTTATCTTCACTTCATCCAACTCCAGCAGTTTGTGGGTATCCAACAGAAGCTGCACGGGTTTTAATAGCAGAAACTGGTAGGTGCCTATTGCTTTATGCTGACTCCACTTTTATCTTCAGTAATTATGCCTGTCACAACCCTTGGTAAAAAAATGTAATACTACTGAAATTAAGATTCAGTAGGTACTAGGAGCTAGGTAGCCGACATCAGTGATTTGGAATTAAGATTTGATTGTTGTTTATACAGTGCCTAACCTACTGAAATAATGTTTGCTGCATAAGTGCATAACAACCTTTTGAGATTTAATTAAGAGAACGCATAATGCTCTATATATCATTCAAAACATTAGTTTTTACAATTTTTTAACCCTTACATTTGATAAGTGATGATCGCCTTCAAATCGCCAACCATAGCTGTCAGGCGCCAAGGTGAGTTGCGGTGCCAGTGTACGGCCATGATGGCTAGGCGCCGAGGTGACGATTAGGCGGCAAGTAGTATATGAGGAATGCTATACATTAATAACACTTATATAGATATATGACATCATATGTGGTAGTTGATAAAGTTTAAATTTCAAATTAGACAGTTTAAATTTCAAATTAGACAAAGTGTACTCTCCAAACCTATTCAAATACAAATATTTTAAAAAATAATATAAAAAATTTAATTATAAAACATTTTCAAAAAATAATAAAGCACTGCAGCAAAAAAACAAAATCTTTTAGTTTTACATTCACTGTTCTATGAAGAGCAACTGGAAAAATAATCATTGCAATAGAAATAAATTACTGTAATTATAAAGCAAGAAACAGAAAATTAAGGCACTGAAAAAAAACAGAAAATTAAGGCACTGAAAAACAACAACAACAACCCAGTTGAATCCCACAACAGTAGGGTCTGGGGAGGGTGTGTGTACGCAGACCTTGCCCCTACTCGGAAGTAGGGAGGCTGTTTCCAAGAGACCCCCAGCTCCGCCTGCACAAAAATATGGAAGAGAACACAGTATAGCACAGATAAGGCACCAAGTACAAGCAACAAGTACAAGGCACTGAAAAAAAAACAGAAAATTAAGGAACTGATTTGCTTGTATGGATAAAAAGCTACTTCACTCACTATATCAGTATAAAGCATTTAAAAAATAACGGAGTACTAGGAATATAATACATAGTATATGCAATTACTTTTTTTGAAAGGAAGTATATGCGATTACTGAGTCTAAAGCATTTTAAAAACTCCCTGAGGATTGAGAATATGGTTTACGCGTTCGATGACCGGATAGAGAAAGTGAGAGGAACTTACATGCGATAGATGATTGACGAGTCCTGAAAGAGTAGAGAGCTCTTCAGGCGGTGGCAAAAAAGGAGCGTGACGAGTGTACCAAGACTGTTAGAGGTAGGGTTTTTAATTTAATTGAGAGTACTGACTCGCGATTTATTTAAAACTAAAACAGCATCTTTCTAAATACTTGGCGACTAGCCCTCTGGCACAGTGCCTGGACCCAAGTTGTCCGACTATGAACGCCTAGGGGAAGGGGAAATTAGGCGAGGCGAGCTAGCATGACGAAAAGAGAAGGGTGCCGACACACCTAGGTTATGCCGTGACAACTATGCCGCAAACTCATTTGCAGCTTGAGTTCGGCTTTAGTCAGTTATAATGATGTGCATATTCAAGCCCAATGAGCTTAAAATTTGCTCGGATTCGGCTAGACAGATCTTCAATGTTCAATCCAATTGCTAGAGTTAATAATTTTAAAATTGTAACTTCTGAACAGACATGCTCAAAGGTTATATGGATTACTGATGTTCCATTCTATATTGTGTGACGTATATGCTCGAAGTTAGAATATTAGTTTGTGGGCGGTAATTGGTTTGTTCAAAATTGTCGATTAGCAATCATATTCAGAACTGAAAATTAACTTAAAGTCTTTCAAATCTACACATATATTCAATTTACCCCTATACCTTTTAGGTGCTCCATAGATTTGAAAAATACCGAAACCATACACTAATATGCTTGAGGCTGGTCGGATGAAATATTCATTGTTTAAATTCATCGTGTATTCGGATTCAAAGCTCCTTTAGCTCAAAAATGAGCTCAACAATTTGTCAACTGTAACTAATATGCTCGATAATTTCCAACCAGAGCTGCACAGTTTGTTTGGTTCAGGCATATAATCCATTTATATAGGTCTACGTAAGAAATGATAGGTTATAAGATCTGCTCTAGTCAATTAACGGGAAAATATTTACCATAGAAAAAGGGAGTAAAATCAAATTGGTTATTTGTGGTGTTAAATCACAATAAAGGAATCTTAAATTCCTTGCAAGCTTCCATTGTGTGCCAGCTTTTGTTGCCCAATACTAACCTCTCATATTTCTGGAGAAATGTTTGATCGAGGAATGTATGCTGGTCCTGTTGGTTGGTTTGGAGGGGAAGAAAGTGAATTTGCAGTTGGAATCCGATCAGCTTTAGTTGGAAAGGTATGCCTTACAGCCTATAGCTCTAGTATTTTTATCTTTCTTTTAATTAGTCTGCATTGTAGAAACATGTGAGGTGAAACAAGTTTTGCAAACACGTGGTTCAGCATCTTTGTGATTCAAGTTTAACACTCTCCTCTCCCTTCCCCCTATCGCATAAAAAAAGTCATGTTTCCCAATGGCAGAACTTTTAAAATTTAGTAGGGTTCAACAGCAAACCCAATAAAATCTCTCATGGGGTCTTGGGAGGGTGAGCGTACACACACCTTACCCCTGTGTAGGAGTGTAGGACAAAGAGAGATTGTTTTCAAAAGACTCACACATAGATACAACGAAGTATGGTCATTAGGGTAGAGTCACTAGAGCAATACCCAAAAGCCTACTCTACAACCATAATCCTATACCTCCAAACACTCCTATCTAAGGTCATATTCTGACCTCGATTAGCTCCTGAAGTCTTAAGCTATGTCTAATCACTTCTCTCCATCTCTTCTCAAGTCTAGCTCTACTCTACCCGTCCAAAACAAATTTTAGTAGAGTCAAACTATTGGAAATTATCAAATATATTTTTAAAAAAAACTTCTTTCTGGTTTTGGGATACATTTGTTTTAATGAAAAACATAAATTTTAAAACTTAATTTATTCTTTTGGACGGAGGGTGCGGATTCTTTGTTTAAAGAATCCCTACGTAGGTGATTTTTAAAATGTTGCATATGAACACCTGTTGGTTTCCTTGAAATATCAGGGTCGTGGTGCATTGATATATGCTGGTACGGGGATTGTAAAAGGCAGCAATTCATCTTTAGAATGGGATGAACTAGAGCTGAAGACGTCACAGGTTTCCATTCCAGTCTTCTCTATGACACCTGGAAACAATTTCAAGTTTCAACGTTCACCTATCGATGATCTTTTAGAATACATATTTCTAAACCTTCCTGTTGTTCCTCACAGTTCACCAAACTGATGAAACCCGAGGCACCTGTATTAGCAATTAGTGGAGACAGTCGGAAGATGGACCGAGGGGGTTGGTGATTATCAGTTAGACATTCATTTGGTTTTCTCATAATTTATGGTATATGAAAAAGAAAATGAGAAAAATGTGGCTATTGGAGTTATTAGGTGTATGGAATATCATAAAAGTAATGAACATATTAATTGTTAGTAATGCGGTGATTTCCTCGGGGTTAGGCCGGGAGAGCTTGTAAGACCATAGCGGAGAGGGGAGAGGCTAGGGATCGACTTTTACAACGAATATAGTGGAAGACTCAGTTTGAACCTGTTAATGTGGAGGACAATGGCCTTTTGTCAATACTGTGGTTTTAGGGTATAACAAGTTTCAACTTTGTAAAGCAAATTAAGCTTAGGACGACACCGCAGGTGTGACCCCAAATTTGTCCATGCCTTTTCACACACACACACACATGAGTACACGACACACCCATACTATCAATGTTCATAATCTTTGTGTTCCTATGAGAAAGGTGGATGGGGTCACACTTGAGGCGCACTTAGCGTTGCTCAATTCCTTTTGCTGCGAAATGAATTAACTTCCACCACCATTTGTGAGCCGTTGGTTGATCATTTCAATTTTGGAAATTTTGCTTATTCTACACAATAATGGTTCAGAGTTTTCGCATTCGGTTTTCATTTTTTTGGTTGGATTCTTTTATAGCATGATTTGATCGATTTTGATTCACGTTTATATTTTTGATATTCCGAACTCACTTATAAATGCTTTTGGGATGGAGTAGTACATTAACCAAGACCTTTTAGGTTAATAAGTTGGGCAAATTCTTGCGTGGAGTTAAGGTCTATGGTGAATCTTTCACATAAGCCAAATAAGACTTTGCTTAATATTGAGTTGACTCTTTTTAAAATTATTTTAGTTAAACAAAAATTTGCGTGACACAAACATTTCACTATTCTAAATTCACGAGAATTTTTGTTTATTTTACATTTTTTAATTGATTATTTGATAAATCAATAGATTCTTGTCATTTTTATTTTATACTTCCTTCGTCCCAAATTAAACTTGCAGGGTCCATTTTTATTCCGAAGCCTTTTCTAAGGCAATTAATTAACTCCCTATTCGAATAGTTTCTAACTCAAATTCTTTTTGAGCTCACATTGTGGCCAAATCACCTTCTTCAAGACCTTTTCAAAGGACGTCTTCAAACATGCTGATGATTTGGAATTCTGCAACATGTTCTCAACTCCTTGATCGATCATAACTTCTTGGTTTGAGACTTGTTATATTTTTAGTGGTGTGGAATACAAAATATTACGGAGTAAAATTTAAGAATATGAAAAATGAAATGTGGAATACAAAATATTAAAAAATTAATTATAAAACATTTTTTAAAATAAAGCACTACGGCAAAAAACGATATCTTTTATTTTTACATTCACTCTTCTATGAAGAGGATTTTTATATTTGAAATAAGACAACTCATGTTCCGCCTAAGCAAAATAATCGGCAGATGACCTAATACCTGTTAATTTTTTTTAAAGATTTAGTAAAGTTCAGACTTTTTTTCCCAAAAAATAAATTGTAGGTACGATTTGAAAAAATGTCTAAAGTTTAGCCATTAGTAAAATTTACCATTTTTGAACTTCTTCTCCCCCTTTTGGATAGAAAGTACACACTTTGACTACCAATTAATGTACTCCGTAGTTTAAACTTTAGAATGAGTTGATGTTGATTTGTATTAAAACTACTCCCCCCATCCCGTTTTAAATTGTCTGTTTTGATTTTTGGACATATTTAAGAAAAATAAAAAATAGAGTTGATTTTTCAAAATTGTTAGTACTTTTTAGAAGGGATGGCGATGAATGAGAAGATAATGTGGAGAAGAGTGACTTATTTTAGGGGTAGTTTAGGTATTTTACTCTTAAAAGTTTACGAAAAAAACTAACAGGCAACTTATTTTGGGACGGAGAAAAAAGGCAAACAGGCAATTTAAAATGGGACGGAGGTAGTAGTATTTTAACTTGTGCCACACATAGGATTGAACGAAATTTTTATTAATTTTAAAAAATGAAATTTGTACGAAATAGGACTAAAACATAAGTTATTTCCCAATGTAGGATTTAAAACTTTTTATTCTCTAAATAATACTTAATAATGTCTAGTGGGAAAAATAATATCCAATGATGGTGGACATTTACTTGAATAATGACTAATGGATAATGAACAATGATCCTACATTGGAAAATAAAAACATATGATCATATATTGAGAAAGTCATTATATTTTAATTGTATTTATGTAAATTACCCTATAAAAATTTTCTTTAATTTTTAAAGATTATGTTCTTTTGTATTCTAGTTCTTAGGATATGTTTGGTTAAAAGAAAAAAATTTCCAAAAAATTCCAACTCTACTTTTCCATGCTAGGGTGCGCTCATAAGTGATAGGAAATATTTTTTCTTGGAAAAATAAATTCTCTAAGAGGAGAAAATGACTTTTGTTTATTTTCGATGAAATTTCATTTTTACTCAATCCTCAAATACTATAATTCCTCGATCAAGTTCAATTCGTTTCCCCCACTCACCCCATGTGGATTGGAAAATAAGTATCAATGCCTCCCTTTCTAACGCAAAAGTGAACGGAAAATAGTACGAACTAAGGTGGTGTGTGTGCAGCCTTTTGAAATGATAGACATTTTTTAAATAATTTTTGAAAACAAATGGTATATTCATACCTATTTTTCACACCGCATGGATCACTAAAACTATTTTAATATATTCTATTCAAAAATATATGTTGTCATTTGGTACTTTAAATTATAAATATATGAATATCAGAATTATATTTTTCCAATTCTCATTTTTTACAACAATATTTTTTCCCTATGAGAAATGATGTTTTAACAAGTAAAAATAAATGCCCAAAAAGTCGTTCAAATAAAGATGATGAAAATAATTTTTTTTTAATTTAAATTTATTGTTTGTAAATAATTTAATTTATAAAGAAAATTTTTATGCTTTATAAACAATCCTTATTTCATAAATCAATTATTAATAACTATTGATAGCATGATGTGGATATATATAATATCTTATAACAAAGTTTAAATCTTGATAGATTTTTTAATATCCCATGTTATATATTTAAAGAAATTATAATTATTACAAGAGTTATATGAAATAATTTAAACCATAAAGTTTTTCTTATTAAAAATTATCGAATTTATATACTATTAAGACCCATAAAGCACTAATTTTTCCTAATAATTTTTTCATATTTAATTAGCTGATAAAGGAGCTATATTTTAGCTCAATAAATTTTCATACATAAGAATAGATTGATAACTTTTAAAAAAAATTATATTTCACTCAAAAGACTTTTAATGTCATTGTCATTTTTATGAGAAAAAAAGACGTAGACAAATCATGATTAGTTTCTTTCTTATGAATAATTCATTTAATTTTTATTGAAAAATTATAATTTTCATTTTATTTACATAACTTTCAATAAGTTTAAAAGGCCATGTTTTTTTAATATAAAGTATATTGTTTTTCACTCATCAAATTTTAAAGGTTATCATAAATAATTTTTCATAAATGATGAATGAACATTTAAAACATGCCATATAATTTATTCATTTGCCATGTTGTTTAGAATTTGCCATGTAAGATGACAGATGTCAATATCTTAGAGACATGAGTCTCCCCATATATTATAGTAAATGATATTTTAAAATGAACTTAATCACATAAAATTTATTTAATAACTATTTTTTAAAAAAAGTTTATAATCTCTCTGTCGCTGAGTATTTGTCCATTTTTGAATTTTTACAGTCAAAATTTATTGATGAACTTTGACACTAATTAAATAAAATTGATATTAAATATTGATATAGAAATAATATTACGAAGTATCAGATTTTTTTATATTGTATTTTCAAAACATTTTTTTATTTAATTAACATACTTTATAGATAGTTCTTAATCATAGGTTAAACGTCGAAAAATGGTTGGTTGCATAAAGTCTAAACTGGAAGGTAGTGGTTAAATTTCTTAAAACTTATAGGGAAAGTGTACAAAAATTGTTGGGCGAAGGAAGTGTAGTATAAAATACTACCTTATCCTGAGTATTTGTCAAGTTTTGAGTTTTTACAATTAACCATTTCTAACTTTTGACTTATAACTAAATGAAAATATATCATATATTAATTACATAAAATACTATTCTCAAAATACTTTATAAAACAAATCTAATGAATTTGTTTTTGTATTCATGTCTAATACTAATTTTATTTAATTAGTAGTAAAAGTTTGTCAAATTTAACTACAATAAGTAAAAATAGATAAATATATATATATTTAGAGAGGGGATGTAGTAGGGGAAAGGTTCGCGGGCGAAGTAAAGTATAAACCAAACATGAACGTTGGAACACATGCATAGGAAAGCTGGAGAATAGTGTTGGAGGTAAAGGATAGAAGAAAGCCTTATATTTTACCCTCCAAGGAACAAGCAAGCTAAGAATAATGTTTCTAAAACTGGTCGATCGATGGATATGCTCCAAATTCAAACATCTCCGGCCATCAACAAAAACAACAAACATTATATGTTACTATTGTTTTGTGTCTCCCAATTCAAGGCCGCTTAGTTAATAATTAGTCATTTTTTACAGGCTCAGAATATTTATTTCCATATACACGACACAGCTTTTGATGAGAGATCCAACGACGACGACAGGTTTAGACGACGGTTTGCCAAGATCAGAAAACGTTATATACGAAGAGGTCGTGCCTCTTTTCGAATGGAATCCAGATTCAACAAGTCATTATTGGCTTCTTCTTCATGTTCCAGGTTTAATTATTTACATATAATATAGAGTAAATTCCATAAAAGGTCCCCAGTTATATGTCATTTTACATATTTAGTCCCTACATATCAAATATTACTAATTTAGTCCCCAATTATTATATCATTTTTCACAAATGGTCCTTTGTTAACGTTTTTGTTAAGAACATGGATAAAATTGTATATTCATATTTCTCTCTCTCCTCAATTAAGCTTCCTCCCTCTCGTACTCTTTCCCAAACTAGTCGCTGAGTTTCAAGCTCTAAACCCAAAACTGAAATGATCATTCGTCTCTCAATTATTAGTCTTCCTGGTGGAACCTAAAATCAAAACTAATAAGCTTTATGGATGAGTTTTATTGGTTAGTCTCAAGAAATTGCAAAGAAAGTAAACATTAAAACTCATCCATGAAGGTTACTCGTTTCGAATTTGGGTTCCACAATTTTGCAGTCAATTTTTTTTAACTTCGTCCATGGATTATGATAAATATACATTGAATTGTGAAAAGCAATAGATTCATTGCAACACTAATTTTGAGATATCATAATTTATATAACAATAGAAGTATTAATGGTTAAAATATTGGACGAGAGAGTCTGAAAAGTCAAAATACAACTCCTTATTTAGTTCCGATGTTAGTTGCCCACGGTTCAAACTTGGTTGCCCAAATTTGGCTGCCCACAATCGTGTTTTTTTAAGATTCGAAATTTATAGTACGTTCATATTTACACAATGTTTGGTTTAAGTAATTTGATAGGGAAATGAATAGAAAATAAGAAGGAAAATATTTTTCTTGTTTAGAGAGAAAAAGAAAAGAAACATGGAAGGAAAAGAAATTGAGAAGATAAAATGTACTAAGAATGAAAACCAAAATCCTCCCATTTTGATGAGGAAAAATTAGGGAAAACTATTTTCTTTTCTTTCAAATTTCTTAAATCAAACATAGTGTTAGTAAACAGATTATGCAGTATCTAAAATACCCAAAGCATATTATGGATCCATAATGCTAGAAGAAAACCCCCTAAATAGGAGTAAAACATACGGAGTATATCATATCTTCAAAATAAGAGTTCAAACTTAAACTCCTCTAAATAGGAGTAATTAATTAAATTTTGTTTTGATTTACTCTTCCGCACTAACCACACCACATCCTAGCCCTATGCAGTCGAAAAAGTAACTTGGCCCCTTCCCAATCTCATCTTTCTACGATCTCCTTCGTTTTAATCTCTGTTGTTGACACTGTCAACTTAAAACCCCCTCTCCGCCGCTACCATCTTCTCTATGCGGTAATGATTCCACCGCACTCTCCATCATCTCCTTTTCTCTCATACACACAATCTCCTTCCACCCCTCTCCACCATTTCTATTTTTCATCGCTCGGATGCTTCCGTCCCCTTGGGTAAGTTTGAATTCAATTTGATATTTAATTTGACATAAGTAGTTAAATTCAATTTTAAATCTAAAAATTTACTTTTTTTCGGGAATTATTTTGTAAAATTGGTACTACTCTTTTATCCTTGTGTGAGTTTGAACTTTTAATCAATTTTATATATACTCAATTTCACATAGGTTGTGACATTTGGTTTTAAATCTAATTTTATTTCTTAGAAAATTATTTTGTAAAACAAATATTGAAACTAAATGATTATTGTGTTGGCAAATAGAGTTTCTTGATGTTTAACTTTTTTGAGATTATGCATTAACATATGTGTTATATGTAAAATTATACATTGGCATATCTATCATTATATATTGCCAAATGTGGCACTATATATACAAATTGTCATGTTTGGCATTATCTCTTGGTTTAACATTATGCATTTGCATGTATATGACTTTATACAATGACATGATTGTCATTATGCGGTTACGTGTGGCGTTAAATGTAGTCTTGTTTGACACTGTATGCACATTTTACTGTAGTAATTTACTGAGTTTCTATTTATTGCTTAAGAATTTTGACATATATCTACAAGGTATTAATCAAGTCTCATAGATTTATTGATTAAGAATTTTGGCATTAAGTGTGGTCTTGTTGACACTCTATGGGCCTGAGGCAACACTTAAAGGTTATGTTTATCAAGTATGTTTTTTTCTATTCCTAAGAATGTCAAATCATCAAATCAGAATATTTGAGTTGTGAATTAGGATACACATATAAATATTCAGGAGCAAGGTAGAAATAGCCGTATTTGTCTATGGTACTGAGCCTTGAGTGTGATTTTGTTGTCGTCCCTTGACAATGTAGTTAAAAGAATCATTTATTGACAATATTTTAACTTTGGGTAAAAAAAATTAGCCGGCTTAGTAGTTAGCCATTATTTTGATAAAAAATAAATATAATATCCTATTATATTTTCTGACTCGAAAATATAAACTATTTGTAAAGCCAACCTTTTAATTCAAAAAATAGGTAATTGGGTTGATCTCGTAAAAAGATGACTAATAGCATAAAGTTTGTTAAGTTTAGACTTTGGTGTAAAAAGTTATGAGCAAAATAGATGTTATAATTCAATAAATAAATATAAAGATTTTATAATATAATACTCCCTCCATCCCACAAAAAAGTTCCCATTTTGACCATAAATTGGTCAAATTGTTGCACACTTTGACCCTAAATTAAATATAATCTAAATAAAAAAATGCTAAAAAATTTGATATATTAAAACTAGATCCTAAGATGAATCCAATTATATAAAATTTATTTCATAATTCAATATACCTTTATCACAATTTGTAGTCAAAACGTGTAAATATTTGACTAAATACTATTCAAAATGGAAACTTTTTTGTGGGAGGGAGGGAGTAATAAATAATCTATATCCTAACCTATTCAGCTATTCTAATTCCTACCCATAACTCAATGTCAATGCCCAGCCCCCCCTTAAGTGTGTAAATACACACGCATGCAAGAAAAGAAAAAAACAAAGGGAGAAGAGAGCGTGAGAAGAGACAATTGAGGACAAAAAATAATTAATTACTCCTATTTAGAGGAGTTTAAGTTTTAGCTCATATTTGAGAATATATAACATAACTTTACTCCTAGTTTGGTCCTTCTCCCTAATGTTAGTATTCATCGTGAGATGCTCAATTACATAGAAAGTCATTATATTTATTTGTGCATCTTGCTTAAGCACCTATTTACTCTCAGTGTCTCCAATTTTTTTTAACCCGGGCTCTTTTCTATTAAATTACCAATTTTACCCCTATTCATTCTTACTTTTACCTATCTAATGATATTTTTAGAAAGTTAATACAAAACTATACCGCCTATAAATAAATTCAAAAAAAGTCATAAGACCAAACAGATTTAAGAACCGAGGTAGTATTTGCTAGCAGATTAAATAGTGGCATATAATTTAGATGTTTAGAATTTATTTTTTTAGACATTTCACATTCATTCATTAGACTATTAAAAAAAGCACTAAGATTATGTTCTCTTCACCTGAACAGTGCTGATTTGATTGGAATAATTACACGTACACTAATTATTTAAAATATTATTTTTTTCTAGGTCAATTTAGATTAATAAAATATTCCTAATTTTTTGAACATCGTTTAGTGTCATGTAAATTAAAAAACAGTATTCCAATACAATTGTACCCCGTATTATTTGTATTAAAATTGAAAGAAAAATAATATCGAGTGTGAATTACAAAAGAAGTGACATGGGAAAAATAAATTTTGGAACATTCAAAAGTAAACTACAAATAAGAACATATTAACAACAACAACGATAGTAATAGTAATAGTAATAGTAATAGTAATAGTAATAGTAATAGTAATAGTAATAGTAATAGTAATAGTAATAGTAATAGTAATAGTAATAGTAATAGTAATAGTAATAGTAATAGTAATAGTAATAGTAATAGTAATAGTAATAGTAATAGTAATAGTAATAGTAATAGTAATAGTAATAGTAATAGT